AAGTCTTGGTATTTTTTTTTTTGGTATTGTTTTTGTAGTATTTGAATTTTTTTTTTAACATTTGCAGTATTTTGCAGAATTGTGCAAAAATGCTATTTTGATGACAAGGCCCAAAACTTTGTTGTAAATATTATTTCAAAGTGGTCTCAATTAAAGGTTTTTAAGGCTTTCTAAAGTTATTTATTTGTTTGTTTGTTTTTTGGCTGCTTTTTCCGCTAGTTTTATTCCATGTCTAAGTGATCAGGTACAAGGAAGGAAAATGAGTCAAAGGCATCCCAAGTCCAAAGAAAAGCTTTGAAAGATAGACCTACAGAAAGTGAAGATCTTTTGGTCACGTCCACTTAAAAGGATTACAAAAAAAAGTGGCTGCTTGGAAGGAAAATATATAAAAATTTATGCCAAAACCTTTTTTGCACAGTCCTACAGTAAGTTCATCCGTTAGACACGGATTCAGACTCAGATGATCACCTCTGCAGGAATGTGGGGTTCAATGTTTCGGCCAAGGACACTTTGACATACAGACTGGGGAGTGAAACATAAACTTTCCAGTACAGAAGAAATACAAAAAAAGCCATTTTACTACAATTATGTATACAAAGTATATTTAACAGCCCACACAGTGAGGATCAACGTGCTTCAGACACTTTTATTAGTCTGTGTGTATAATTATTTTACTTGGATTTATTTGCGGTCTCCAAAATTCAAACTTGTGACTAAAACACCAGTCTCAAGGAATTCTTACTATTTTTGTTCCCTGTCTATTGAGTGGAAGGACTTATAATGTTATAATGCATTTGGGGGAGTGCTTGCGTAGAGGTCAGAGAAGGCAAGCCTGTGATCAAGAGGTTGCAGATTTGAAAACTCAAGGATGGCACAAAAAATGTATTGATAAAGGCAGTGGCGGACTTAGGGGCCGTTTACACGGTGCGTATTTTGAGTGCATCTGCAACTTTCTCTCTGCGGTTCTGCTGATCATTTACACGACACCAGTGGCCCCCCTCTTTGAATCTGGAGGTTTCTGAACCCACCTTCCAGAGTGGAGGTTTTTCGCTGACCCCCCCGCTGATGATGTAAACATCTCCCGCTGAGGCTTAGTGTTAAACCACATGCGCACACGCACGCGTGGACCGACATATTTCTATCAACATGGCGGCGGATACACTGTTTTCAGAACTACGATTGATGGAATATATTTTAATCTCGTTGTTAATCTACGTCAGATTCCAGGTGCTGTGACCGACATCTGTGTTGGAAGAGAAGCAATCAGATCCAGTTCTAATATCGCTGTTTATAGAACGAGGCACGCACACATGTCGCGCTGCACTATAACATAAATGTGCTAAATAACAGTTTAATAATAATAAAAAGTATTTATGTTAGTGTGCGAGATAATGAAGCTCTGAGCTAAATGAAGCTATCTGGACATTATTTAATTCAAATTTAAAATGATGCTAAACATATAGCGTGAACACTAAAGTTGAAAATGAAGATATCAGGTTTAATTTTTATTTATTAAACACCACAAACTGTATGTCACACAAACACTGATAATTAAACTGAACACACTATTAAAACACGTTAACTGAACTTGAATGGATTGAATAAAAGAAATGAGGGGAATTTAAAATAAATATTCATCAACGTCTCTGTCTTCGACGTCCTCCTGCAGTTCATCTGGGCCGAGCCTTGTTCAGAACCGGTCCGCCTGGTGGGAGGACAGCTTCTTCTTCTTTCAGGAAAAAATAAAAACTCAGTTGGTTGTTTTATAACACAAGTAAACACAAACTAACATTATTAAGAACGTTGCTTTACCTGCTATAAATCAGCTACTGATTATCACGGAGTAAAGTCCGACATCGTCGACTCTGTTCTGGTCCACTCAGCGACCGGTGTGGAGCTGTTAGACGAAGCGGTCCCGCTTGGCGTCAAATCTGTCGACTCTTATCCAAAATCCAGCCAGAATCCAGCTTTAACTTGTTGTTACGTTGTTGTTAGCTGAGCTGGTTAGCTCACAGGAAAGGCGCGTGCCGCATGCGCATTAGATGAAGGTACAAAATTCACAGCGCCATCCAATGACCTGGCATGGTAACTACAGCTGATTCGGGAGGGCGGGGGGGGATCCTCCAGATGCATGTAAACCCAAAACCCGTCCGTGTCAACGCAAATCTTTTCCTCTAATTAACATACGAAAAAAACCTACGTTTCCCCCCCATCGTGTCCATGTAAATAGGGCCTTAGCCATTTTGGGGCCCAAGGCAAACCTTTCTAAAGGGGCACTCCCTTAAGTCTGCCTTAATGTACCAGTAGGCCCTGAGGGTGAAAGATTCTTTGGGCTGCCACAGTTTTCATACTGCAATACTGTGAAACAAACAGTAGCACAACATAAGTTTTATTATTATTATTATTATTATTATTATTATTTTAATAAGACACAACTACTCATTAAAATACCAATGTTCATGCTCAATAATCCAGGTATAAAATCCAACAATGTTCAGTCAGGTCATTCGTACTCATTTAAAGTACTCATTAAAATCTTTTTTTGGAGAAAAAAACAACTTTGTTTTATTATTATTATAATAAAACGGTGCTAAAGCAAATATTGCATAAACAGTCAACACCACTAGGCGCCAACTATGTACAAACTACTGATGATAGGGTAGTAAAATTTGATATTTTTTTTTTCCTAAATGAGAAGATTATCCATAACTTTATATCACAATTCTTTTATTGTCATATTGCATACTGACAGGGCACAGCTGTAAGATCAATGTAGAGAAGTCAGTGTTTTTGAGAGAGGTGGTACTTGGAAGCAAATCCAAACGTTGTCCTGTTGCAAGTGTGGACAGGGAACTAGACTTGATGAAGGATGATGGACAGCAAGATGTCCAGGCAAGAGAGACACTTGTATTAGCTGTAAAAGGACAAAAATAACAAGCTGTTTCAGCTGTAAAACTTATTTGTCCCTTGCATTTTTCCATTTTCATTTTACAATGTAATTTACACAACATATCAATCTGAAGAGAGAGGAAAGTGAATGAGTAACTGCAATCATGAAACGTTTGGAAATGTAAACATTAAAATGTGAGTCATACAATATGATACGACACATATAAAGCCATATGTGTGTGAGGGGATGGGGGAATATGAGGCTAGAGTTAAGGGAGTTGGCAGAGATAAATCATGTTGTGACTTAATATGGATAACAGTTGGTATTTACTGCTCTCCTGTGATGTATGGATAGAGGATGCATCTGGAAAAAAACATAATTTGTTAAAATTGGAGATGAACGCCGTGTACTGTACTTTGTGTTTTTATATGTGAACATAAATTAACTTGTTTGTCCAGGACTTCTACGAAAGAAGTTGTCTTCTATTTTACTGGAGAGAGAATCACATGAGAGCATAATGGGTTAACTAAAAAACTGTAGAATGTAATTTACTGATCAAATGTACTACCTTTACACTCTCCTTGCTCTCTAGGTTTCTTATTTCTGTCTTTTATTCTTCTTTCCCTGGAATGTTGATGCACTCTTCTTTGTCCCTTCATTCCTCTTCCTCTCCTTTATTGTTTCTCTCATGCTCTCGTCACTGCATATTCCTCTTCTTCATAGTCTTCATAGATGGATGTTTTTGTTTCTAGTTTATTTTATTGGTAATACTGACCAGTATTAATCAGCTTTAATCATCCTGTTGCTTTTGGGAGTGGAGCGAGAGAAGGAGCGGGAGCTAAAGTGGTTTAAATATTAAATTCCCTCTATTATAGTTTAAGAAAAGTAGCGGATTATTCCATTAAGATTTCGATGAAGGAAAAAAAATAAACATAGTACTACATTTTGTCTGAGCTATTTGCACTTTTGCTATGCATCAAATAAGATCTTTGTGTTCCTTCACCATTCCATGCACCCGCCCTGACACAACTCTGCCACTATAATCACATTTGCGCTGGTTGTTTCCATGGCCTTGTCGCAGTCGTTGTTATATAAGCATGAGGCTAGTGTGGCCAGTCCTGCTGCAAATTCTGGGCAACAAAACCAAGCTGATAGGAGTTGAGGGTACAGTGTCACTCAGCACCCAATAACTGCCATCATGGTGAAAAACATCACTACAAGAATTCTGTTCATGCTCAAAGTCACCACAGACCAGTCATGGTCTACCACACTTAATGGGGTATGTATCTTGATACGCCCCTCAAGACCTCACCAAACTGCACAGACCATCCACAGTCTGGTTGGATTTATTTTTTATTATGTTTTTCCCTGTCATAACAGGACCGCCATAAAGTGGAAATTCCTGAATAGCTAAAAGAATTGCAAAAGTTCATATTGGAACTTGGACCAACATCACAATCATCTCTTTTTGCCTGATAGTGTCATTGGTTTGCACCATTTCTACAAAGTTAGTGACATTTTAAATGTACCATTAATCATACAAAGAGTAATGGATATTGTAGAGTTCTTATTGAGGAAACAAAGTGAAAGCAAACATTATGGTTCTTGATATGACACTTTGGAAATACTGAGAGGTATAGCAATAACGGTTCAATATGTGTTGTACCAATGATGATATTCCTTAGATAATGCGTACTAATGTTCTGTTGACATTTCTCCTGCTAAACATCTTTTACGTGGTATTGTTTGGTTATTTTAAAGTGTATTAAATAGAGTAGGTGTGCATTTATCAGAGAGCCTTCAGACCACCACATGTGGATGTTCTTGTTGTTAATGTTATTGAAATAAATTGGTCTTCGGGTCTCTTATGGAGTTTTGGGATAATGAATTAAGCCTCTGAGAAAAAGCCAGAGTCCTGAGAGGAGGTAGCCGAACACTAAGAAGTATCAACCAGCTGTCTTTGACCGCAGAGCAAACACTGTGGGATCTGAGTGGACCTTTTCATGCCTCCATGACAACCACTCGGTGTCATACTTACTGTATTTATAATGTTTGGAAAGATATTTTTATCCACTTTAAAGGTAATTTTCTTTTTCTTTTTCTTTCGCAGTGTGCCGGATAGCTTGCCACAAGAAATGTGAAGTGAAGGTAAGACTCATAATAACGTTTATAATAGGGATGCACGATATTGGATTTTTGGCCAATATCCGATATACCCATATGTTAAAACTTATCTGGCCAATAACAAATACCAATATTTTTTTTTCTAGACCTACTTACAGAGTACATAGCTTTCTCTACTGTGGAATTAAAATACTACATTATTCTGCATGGTCTTTGTCCATTTGTCCTGCTACCAAATGAAGAGGCCAAAAAGGGGGCTGAAAATGATTTAACACTATATAAATATATATATTTGAAAAAACAGCGCCTTTTGTGTCAGAGTTATTTTGATGGAATGGCCGATGTCCGATATTTTAACTTTATTCCGAATATTGGCCAATACCGATACCATGCATGATAACATCGTGCATCCCTAGTTTATAATGTCACTTAAATATGTTTAAATACATTTTTGCTTTGATCACAATTTTGCACATGCGTGTTGCCTGAATCATAAATTGATGTAGATTATTTGGAGTAAGCTACCTTCGTTAGGGTTTGCAGATGCAGTTATGGTGTTGGTTGGGGAGTTTATGGTCCAAAGGAGAAAATAAAATCTCAAGAATGTCTAAACAATTCCTCAGTGTTCCCGAATATGTTTACATTGGAAGAGCTTCTGTGTCTTGGTGATCGACCGTGTCTAAAAATAAACAAGCCCTGGATGGAGCTCAACTTGTCTTCTGAATTCTGTTGAAAAGCAGAAGCAAAAGACAAAAAAAAAAAAAAAGTGAGCAGGAGAAAGCAGTGTGCTTTGTGTATCTGAAGGTTTTTTTCTTTTCCAGCCGAGGTTTTCAGCTGAAATCTCACACGTCAGCATACAGCACAAACACACACCTATGCACACACCCTTCATCTGGTATTCATTTTTGCAATGCGTTCTTGTTGCCAGGTTTACCCACATTTTAGTTAACTCTCAGGAAATGCCAGGGGTGCAGCACAGACAGGACAGGCTAAATATGAGGAGGGGGCTTATAGAGTGGGCTTCAGTCAGGGAAAGTAGCTAAAACAACCTGAAATGATAAACACACCACATTTTTAACTGGTCTGCACTGAAACTTTTACCTAGATCCTCTGGGTTTAGTAAAAGGTTGCATTTATAAAAGGTTTTGTTTTTATTCATTGTTTTGCGAAACACTAAGACACAATGAAATGATTTAAAACAGATTTAAGTTGGAAGCAATAAACCAAGCTTCAAAACAGCTATTTTTCGTCATATAGCTGCATTAACTGGACCAATTATAATCACTTCTATGTAAAAATAAAAGGTTGGGATGGACAAATACAGCCCTGAAGGCTGATGCATTGTGATTATTTTATTTTTTTATTTTTTTTGTCCAGGAATGAGCAAAGAATCCATTAAACTGTTGGCTTTTATTACTTTACAGCCCACTCCAGGTTGTCTTCTGCTGCTCTGAAGATCAAAGTGTGATGAATGGCACTCGGAGCGCATACTTGTTGATAACATTTGAATTTCAGGAAGCCAGAGGTCAAATTCGCAGGAGGAGCCATCGCAGAAGGCCAGAACAAACTGCCAGTGTCTGCGTCGCACAAATCAGTGACTTTCCATCTCCAAAAATCACAGCAACATTTCCTTTTCTAAACATTTCAGCTGATATTTGTCATAGCTTTGACAGGAAGCAATTTGCTAACAAGCCTGAGATAAAAAACAAGGGAGTGACCTAGCAGAGGTCAAGAATGATCGCTATCAGTTTGTCAGGCCTGCAGACTAAAACGCTCATTTCTAAACTTTGTTTCACATTTAAAATCCACCTGAAGTTACTGTTTACAAAACCGCTGGAATTTCTTTATAATAACTCAAAGCTGGGGCAGTTTTCTTATGCAAACATGAGCTATAAATCTTAAATTTAACCTGCCAGCTGCTAACAAATGGTCACAAAAATGTCTCCCCACCCTCTTGCTTGGTAGTTTGCGAATGGATGTGAAAAATGCACTAAATCTTGTTTGTAAAATTTGTCATGGGGGTGATGACGGGAAGGAGCCGAAAACAGGAGATTGGATCATCGTTAAAACAAAGTTGAGTTTATTTTAGAGTAAAACTATGTGGAGTCGACACGTGACGCATGTTTGTTGCTCGTTCTCTCAGCTTCTTTACACAACAACAATAATTTACAACTTAAGACACATATATCTGTTGTTTTTTCTTAATTTTGGATAAAAAAGATATAAAAACAAACATATATATATATATATATATA